TGCACACGAGTCTGAACTCTAATTAAAATGATGACAACCTTAGAACTAGAAGATCAAGTTCATGATGCAAGAGCTGGAGTGACCAATATAAAAGAGTGATCTATCTAAAGCTGTATATTACAGTGGGCTAACAGTGTTTGAGAAACTCCTAGTATTCACTGTTTCAGATATCAACTAATCCACAGTTAAGCTTGCCAGGTGGAATGGCATCTCTCTCTCTCTGTGTTCACTCAAATATAAAATCCATAGACTTAATAGGCATGAATAATATTTGCAAAAATGGCAGAGATCGGAAACAGAACATCGATGATTGTGGGTCAAATAAAAAAGGGGATGGTTCAAGCGGCTAGGAACTTAAGCTGGGAAAAGAAAATTTCCTAGATTGCTATACGTATTAGTAGTGTCCTTCCAAAGCAAACTTCTTTCAAGGCTTTCATCAGCTCTCTAACCATTTTTTTTGTAGCTTACCGTTCATGAAAACTAGAGAGGTCTTAAAAACCCGGAGGTCCAAGTTCTTCTAGACCAAATATTATTATTTTTGTTCATTTAGTGAACACCGTTTTAATGTGTTTTGATTATTTACTTCAATTTAAAAATGAAAATCAATTCACTTTAAAAGGATAAATAAGATAAACAATATATGTGTGTGTAAAAATAAGGAAATTAAAACTTAATATGTTGTGCCAAACAACTTTAAACTAAGAATTATATTGTTAATATTTTTTAATGTTTTATTTTTTATACTTATGTGCATTTAAATATTATTTTTAATTAAATTATTTTGTTTTTGGTTTGGTTGGTAGTATAACCAATCAAACCATGAGAATTGTGATTCATTAGCTTTTTAGGTTAGTTGTCTAGTCTAATTTTTAAAATATTGGATAGCTGTAACTAATGGTAATGGCTAGTGATGATTGTTGGTAGTAGTTAATAGTGACTAGTGGTTAGCCAACATAGCAAATAGTGATGATTGATGGTAGTATTTAATAGCAACAACTAATAATGGTGGCTAGTAGAAATTGGTAGGAATCAATAGCAATGATTAGGAATTGAGATTAATGTTGGTAAGTACAAGCTCCAAATGTTACAAACAGAATAGTTTTAAAATCATTTAGATTTAAAATACTAAAAACAACTTTCAAAAACAAAAATCAAACATAATCTCTCAAGTTTTAGCCTAAAACTAACCTGAGTGCATTTCAACCTCGTCTGCCTAACAACAAAGGATCTGTCATGACTCTGAAGCCCTAAATCCAATCTAGCTCTCTCTTCATTACTAATTTCAACTTTCACCATCATAATCAGCAACTTCTGTGGCTGTGTTTTCGGATGGGAAAAGTTGGGACAGGAGCTACGTTAACTAATGGGCAAATCCAATTTGCAAGCTTTTCAATACTTTGAGAGTTTTGATGTCATGGTGCTTCAATGCAAACGAGTCTGAACTCTAAAGTGATGACAACCTTAGAAGATCAACTTCGAGTTGCAAGAGCAAGAGTGGCCACCATGTAACATATGAGGATTGGCTTTATTTCAACTTCAATTTTTCATGTGTTTTTTTCATCATATCTCAGTGCTTCAGAACCTCTTCTCTCTTTGCATACTACAGTAGTCTAACACTGCAGTGCTTGAGAAACTCCTTGTACTTGCTGTTTCAGATATGAACTAATGATGTCTTGGCCATAACATTGCATTGTTGGTTCAGAGTATAATCCACAGTTCAGTTAAGTACTCTTGCCAGGTGGAATGCCATCTCTCTCTCTCTGCATATACATGTATCTGTGTCTCGTTGGAAAACCCAGAGACTGAGATGCATGAATATTTGCAAAAATGGCAGAGATCAGAAACAGAGCATCGCTGTGGGGTCAAAGGTAAAAAGTGATGGTTCAAGCAGTTAGGCTCACCGGCCGTAGTGGGCTAGAGAAGCAGCAACCTGTGATCCTTCCACTGTAAGGAGCCAGAGGTTGTCGCTGCTCTGTGAAGCCAGCCTCACGCGGTACCCTCTCGTTTAGGATCCACGAGCCTCAAGTTTTCGCTCAGGACCCATAGCTCAGCTCTCCACTTGGAACGGGCAGGCCAGCAAATTGCAACATCCAACCCGACCCGGTGATGCAAGAACCGTATTCCACCACCTTGGTGCCCCCACTTGGATTACAAGCTAGCGTTATCCAGCTCGGCATGCGTTCGATAGCTCCAGATTTTTATATAGTATGATTTTATTCATATACTAGTCGATGTGGGACTTTTTCATATGTTGTCGCTAAATTTACAAGTTTAGCAATAAATATTATATTATTTGTATCCTTTTAAAAAAGACCATCTTAATATGTCTTGATGATTTAATAATAAAATTTTTTATTAACTTTAAAAATATTAATGTCAATTTCCTTTTAGTTGTAATAGTAAAAATTTTAAGGGTATGAGTTTTTAATTAACATTATATCAATTAAACTGTAGAGTAATTGAAAATCAATTTGCTTTAGAAGGACAACTAAGGTGAGGAAAAAAATTTATGCACAAGAATGTAAGCAAATTGAAACTTGGTATGTTATGACTAAATAACTTTGAACTAGAATGACTTGGTATTTTTAATGTTTTATTTCTTATATATATTTTGTGTTTGTATATCTAAATATTATTTTTAATTTAATTATTATGTTTCTAGTTCAATGGTCAAGATAACCACTCAAACAATTAGAATCATGACCTACTAGTTTTTCAGGTTTGTTGTCTAATTCAATTTTAAAAATATTAGACAGTGATAACTAATAGTGATGGCTGTTGATGGTAGCTAGTGGTAGCTAACAATGATGGCTAATAATAGTTAAACAATAATGGCTAATGGCATTTAGCCAGCACAACAACAAAAGGTGACAATCGATGATGGTAGTGGTGGCGCAACAACCAATAATGGTGGCCAGTAGGAATTGTTAGTGATCGATTGAGATTGGTGTTGGTGAGCCACAACAAGTAGTAGTAATAAGGTTTGATGTGATTAGTTTTCAATAAATATAGTGTGTATAAAAAGAACAAAAACAAGTACGTCCATTTTTAATTTTTAAAAGAAAATACTTACCAAGAAAGTATTTTTTGGTTTCAAAACTAGAAATAAATCTTGTAAACATCCCTTGGTTCATGAGAATGCAGCATCAAACTGCCGTATAACTCTCAACTTTTAGCCTAGAACTAACCTGAGTGCATTTCATTCTCATCTGCCTAACAAAAAAGAATCTGTCATAACTCTGAAGCCCCAAAGCCAATCTGACTCTCCATCACTACAACTTTCATCATCATAATCTTCATCTTCTTCACCTATCCTTCCACCCATGTCGACCAGTTTGATGGGATCACCGGCCATTTTTTCCACATCAGACAGTGACCACCTCGGGATTTCTTGGTACTTCAATTCTGTGGTTGTGTTTCACTGTCATATATGCTAATGGAATGCTTCACTTGTTCTATGCCAATTTGCAAGCTTTTCGTCATTTCTTTGAGAGTGTTCATGTCATGGTGCTTCAGTGACAACCTTAGAAGATCAACTTCATGCTGCAAGAGCAAGAATGGCCACCAGTATATATGAAGGGTGATCAACATGTAACATTTGAGGCCACCATTCTTATCTTAAATTTTCGTGTGTTTGTTTCATCATGTCTTAATGCTCGAGAACCTCTTCTCGTTTTGTATAATGTTTACAGTGGTCTAACATTGCAGTGCTTGAGAAGCTCCCGGTACTTGATTATTTGAAGCGCATTTCAAACATACAGATTCATTAGCAAAGGAAAATCATGAATCAGAACGTTACTTTTTCATCAGTTTGATGAATACGTGATTTATAAAAATACTTTTTTATGAATAGAAACCAACTTAAATTTAGTCGATTTCTTGAAAAGTTAATCGGGTCCGCAAATCAATTAATATAGAATAAAAAGACTTGAGACACAATCAATATATTTTAATTTTGGAGCAAAACTGGAAAAGCAAAAAAATAGTGCCACACATATATACCAATTATTTGTAAGTTAATTATTATGTTTTTAGTTCCATTACTGATATAACCAATTGAACAATGGAAATCGTGATTTGTTGGCCTTTCTAGCTTGTTGTCTAGTCCAATTTTTAAAGTTATTAGATGGCAAGAATCAATGATAATGATTTATGATGGCTATTAATGATAGTTGATTGTGGCTGATGATTGTAATTGATGGTAGTTAATTGGTAATGACTAATGGTGGTTAGTTGATAGTGACAATAAATGGTAATGATTAATGGTGACGGTGGAAAATGATAGTCAATAGTAGTGACCAATGGAGATTGGCAATAACAATGGCAATGGTTAGCAGTTGAGATTGATAACTTGATGTTGATGAAACACAATAAGTAGTGGCAATAAGGTTTGATGGTATTAATTTCCAATAACTAAATATAATGTGTTAAAAAAAGCAAAAACAAAAGCAAGTGCTTCCATTTTCTTATTGTTAAAAATAAAAAATGAGAGTAGTTTTGAACATGATTTAGACACTTACCAACCAACTTTTAGCCTAGAACTAACCAGAGTGCATTTCAATCTCATCTGCCTAACAACAAAAGATCTATCATAAATCATAACTCTGAATCCCTAATCTCCATCACTAACTTCAACTTTCTTCATCATAAATCATAACTCTGGTTGTATTTTCACAATCATATGCTGATGGAAAGCTTCACTAGTTCAATGCCAATTTGCAAGCTTTTCGTTATTGCTTTGAAAGTGTTCATGTCATGCATGGTGCTTCAATGCATACGAATCTGAACTCTAAAGTGATGATAACCTTAGAAGATCAACTTCATGTTCAACAGCAAGAGTGGCTTCCAGTATAAAGGGTGATCAACTTCACGTGTAACATTTGAGGCTACCATTCTTGCCAAGTGGGATGGCATCTCCCTCTGTGTGTGTGTGTGTGTGTGTGTGTCCGTGACTCGTTGGAAAACCCAGCGACTAAGAGGCATGAATATTTGCCAAAATGGCAGAAATCAGAAACAGAGCATCGCTGTGGGGCCAAAATGTGTTTTTGATTATTTGGAGTGCGTTTCAAACATACAGAATCATCAACAAAGAAAAATCGTGAATCCCAACGTTACCTTTTCATCAAATCGCGACCCAAGTGAAGATGAATACGTGGTTTTTCATCACTTCAAGCTAGTAATAAAAGTGGGTGGGCATATCTGTGGAAGTATACAGTCATCAATTTCCTGTGTTTTCATTCACAGGATGACGGTTCTACGCTTTACATGTGCTTCTTTTCAGACACCTCAATCTGCTTGCTGCATCTTACTCCCCCTGTATTCAAATATAATCAAATTGTAGTCAACTCGTAATTTAAAAAAATTGGTTAAAAATATTAAACTAAAATAACTTTGTAATTGATCATTAGAATGTGAAGAAATCTTGTTTGCCTTGTAAAAATAAATTCTGATTTTATGAGAGGCAATATGAGAATATCAGGATAATATGAAAATGTTTCTTGAATTTTACATTAATTATAAAAGACATGACAATTTCTCTTATAGTAAAAAACGGACTACATAAAATTCTTAAATGATAAGGATTTAATTTTCAATTCTAAAAAATGTAAACATTGAAAATAAAAGTACAAAAATATAAAATTTGAAGTACCAAAGTTAAAATTAAATAAGAACTAACTAAATCTCATTTTAAAGGAGGCCTACAAAAGTACTCTATGACATATTTAAATACTTCTATATTTAAATATTTATTTCAAATGAATTTTTGGGCATTTAAGAAAATTAAAATTCTCATGTACCAAACACATTAGGTTTAGTCAGTCATGTTCCTACAATGAACTTGTTCTTCAATCTTCAGCCAAGAGAGAAAGGGCAGGTGTGAACTTGACATCATTCACATTGAACAATGACACACGGAATCTAAGATGAACAGAATAGCAAGACAAATCCAGAGAGTGCAAAGACTTGTTGAAACATTATGTCATGACCTCCATATTAAAACACCAGTCACGGTTTAATGATAATACATTTTGGGCCCAAAATACAATCATTTAAAAAGATGGTTAGTGCCACATGAGACAGAACCTATGCCACATTTTGGAGGACTAAATGGAAAACTAATTCCTGACAACATAATATCATACTACCATACAGATTTATAACTGAAATGAAAACTCTAAACTTTTAGCCTACGACTAACCTGACTGCATTTCAATCTCATCTACCTCCTAGTAAGTCAGTCTCCCTAACAGCTAAAGATCTGTCATCACTCTGAAGTCTGAAGCCCTAAATCTAACTCTAATTCTCCATCACTAACTTTCTTCATCATAGTCTTCATCTTCTTCATCCATCCTTCCATTCATGTTGACCAGTTGGATTGGATCAATGGCCATTTTTTCCACATCAGACAATGTCCACCCTGGGATTTCTTCGTGTCTCAATTCTGTGGTTGGTTTTTCAGATGAACAAGTTGGAGTTGGTTTTACGGATGGACAAGGTTGTGGAACAGGAGCTATGCTGGTCGGCGAATCCCCGTCTTCATCCACAGGATCCATATTTAAGTCAAAATCTCTAAAGCATGCTTCTGATGTCTTGCTAATGGAAGGCTTCACTTCATGTTCTGTGCCAATTTCCATGTTTTCATCGCTGTGAGTGCACATGTCATGATGCTTCAATGCATCAGTATGATGATCATCTTCAGACTTGACATTTGCAGTCATCTCTCGATCCATTGTTCTACTTCCTCGGCCACGACCCCTGCCTCTGCCCCGACCCCTTCCTCTACCACCAGCATGATGTGCATTTTCTGGCTGCAAAACATGGGTTACCATATTCAGAAACGAGAAAGGAAATATAACATCAAATGGTTCAAAATGCTTCATATGGTAACATTCCTTGGCTACCAAATTCACCTCAAGTGCTAAAGCTGATAAAAATTACAACTGAAAGATGAAAACAAAATCAAGTGAATTTGACATATCACTTTAATTAGTTTGTTCGACTCAAGGGTTATTTACAGGCTAACCTAAGTAAGACATCGAAATCATATTCTAATAACAAAACAAGTATCCTAATCCATCTAGGAGACTGCAGGTGGACACCAAAACAAAGGCTCAAATGTCTTAATTTATAAAAAATTAAAATCTAAGTGCAATCCAATATGCCAGCTCATCATGCAAAAGCTTTTGACTAGGCGGCCTATGTAAGAAGTCCTAAGGATACTCTAAAAGGGGACACCATAAAACCGAGACCCAGATCCAGATGCCTTAGTTAATTTGAAATCCATTCAAATATTAAATTGGCTGGCAAGTAAAACAAAAGATACATAAACCTGACAAAACAAATACATCTTCAAATAAAAAGTGAATTAAAATTTCTTCAGAACAAACTGAACGGCCAACAGTTTTGACAGGAAATAGGTTTCTGTCTTTAAAGACAATGGAACCAAGAAAGAAAAGATTTCAGGAATCATTTTTTAAATGACTATTAGAAAGAGTAGTTGAATTCACAAGCCACTTGAGAACTTCCACAATCACGGAAGTAGTAAATTGCTTAACATCATCCCAAAATACCAGTCAACATGAAGAGAACCGCATAGTAGTTTGCACTATTCACTCAATCACAGAACCAGACATTCCATGCACAGTGGACAAGAGTTTGACCACAAAATTGAAGATATAAAAAAATAAAAATAAAGTGCCTTCTTGATCAAAAGAAACTGAAAATAATTGATACGTTACCATCTTATTTCTCTTTGCATCATCTTCACTGTCATTTCCATCATCATCAACCTTCCTGATAAAATAGTTTTCAAATATTAGTATATAGAAAGGTGTCCCAGTAAACAGACTCTTTTAACCGAACAAAAAGAAAACCACAAACCTTCTCTTACAGACAGTACGGTCATCTCCAGAAGCAGCATGGCCACCTAAATCAGGAACCTTGCTGACAATATCTTTCAGAAAATCGAAGACATTAAAAGTCTGTACACACTGTTTTCTACAACGGCAAATATAAAATAACTTAACCTGTTAGATACAGAAAGGAGAAGTAAAGGCAAATAAACAGAAAATTTTCCAAATGCAATCCATTCCAACTTCTCAAACATTTCATTAGCAAAAATTTGTTCTCGGGAAACGTATTGATGCAAGGAATGAAAGAAAAGAGAGAGAATGTAATTATAATTTTAGGTGTCTTGAGTCCAAAACCATAAAAAATCTCAAGGCTTACAAGGATGAAACACATCATCACCACCACATTTGGAACACTCCCACTCTTACCAGAATTTCATTTAGAGACAGCAACATATAAAAAAAAAAAAAAACAACAAACAAAAGCCTCAGTCCACTAAGTGGGGTTGGCAACAAGGATTGCACAATAGCATTGTGCTTTGCCTAAGACCAATTCTTCTGATAAGCACCATTAATAAGTGAAAGTGATCTCAATTAATGACTTCCGTAAGTGTTTTTCTTGGCCTCCCATTACCACATACAACTGAAAGAAAACATTTTCATCTACCATACTCGCAAAGGGAAAAGGATAAAATTCATTAAATCAAAATTAAATAGTGGAAACAAAACTTACAAATGGAAAGAATTCATTGTCTTTGCCCCTCTTCTCAACGTTATTTCATACGTCCGATCACATAAATCTTGCAAAAAGAGTTCTAGTGCTTTGGCTGCAAATAGTTAAAACATTATTATAAACCAGTGATAAGTGATAACTTTTCGCAAATTCCCCACACTACGAGACAGAAGTTAACATGACATAGACAGAACTACTTACAAACAAGAAGAGGCACGGCCATGGCAATCTTCCCTACATCCTCATCCGATTGCATAATTTTCTTAATCCGAGCCTGTCAATGATCAGTCCAACTAGTTAAAAAACTATCGAAAAAAAAATATAAATAATTCAGTTTGATGAATCACAAAGAACCTAAAAATAACAGTGATATCACAAACTAAAGATTTTTGAAAAAGAAAATATCAGATGAGAATGACTGGTTGTCCTACAGCAATTGTTTATAATAGACATAAAAGTTTATCACCGCTCACAATCCAAAAGAAAAGACATCACAAACTTGATCACAATTCAAGCACGCTGTGTTGTGAAACAAGACAGAAAGTATACCACATTAAGAATCTAACAACTTATGAAAAATAACCAAAGATTTTAACCTCAATAACCCAGAAAATAACCACATCTAAATTAAGACAAATCTAGTAATGAACTTGTGTTAAAAAAAAAAAAAAACACTTTCTATCAGCGAGATAGTATAAACTCAGATTTATCAATCCAGCCAATGAGAATATGCATTAAAATCATCATCTCACATAACTACCGTGTCCAGGGGCAATAGCCAAAACGTAGAGAAAGCCAGATAATCCAGTAACCCCAGCAACACAAATAAGAAATTGAATATATTAAACAAATTGAAAAGGAAAAACCACAAAAACCACAAAAATCGCATCTTTCATACGTGCCATACATATAAATTACACCAAGGAAACAACCTACCCACTTATGCATAACATACTTAAAAACACCAAAAACCCAAAATATATGGAAAAAAATCTTCTAAGACCAAATAAAAGGATAAGGGGAAGAAATAAAAACATACAGCCGGAAAACGAGTATCGAGTTTCTTCCTCATGTCATCGAACTCTTCTTCAACATTCACACGACCGGAGAACCGAAAACAACAGAAAACCCAGAAGAACGAAGAAAACCCAGAGAAACGAGACGGCCGCTTGATGTTTATATAAAAAGAAACACCCAGAAAGAGGACGTAGAAGGACCGACCATTGAAGAAGAAGACGAAGAAGGCAAGGGAAGTTTTTTTTTTTTTAAAAAAAAAAAAACGAATCGATTTGGATCGTGGCTGGCTTGGCTGCCCCTTCCCCGAACCGCTATTTTCGGAGCCTCGTACCGTAGAGAACGGAGGAGAATATGGTCTTTACGCCTTCTAAATTTAAACCTTCCACGGTTTCCAAGTATTTCGATTTCTTTTATACGTGCAACGTTTATGTTACGCTTGACCGCCACTTCACTTATAATATTAATATATACTCCATTCAAAATTATAATATATATATTTTAACAAAATCATATCGTTAATAAATTAATCAATTTTTATTTTAATATGGTGCTTTAATTTAAAAAATTTATTATTACACCCCTAATTAAATCTTATTATTAAATCTAAAAAATTTTATATTTTTCAACATTTTATCCCAGAAAAAATGTTTTATATTTTTTAATGAATTGATTATTTTTTATTTCAAATTATTATTGAGATCAATTAAAAATAATATCAACAATTTTTTTGTGACGAATAACATGCATGACATTAGTAATCTAATAGAAATTTTGAAATTGAAAAATATAGTGATTTGAATTAAATTTTACATGAAAAGTTTGAAATTCAAATTTAAATTTAGAAGATATAAGATAGAAAGAAAATAAATAATAATAATAATTTTTCTTTAAAAAATAATAATAAAATGCAGAGAAACAATACGAAGTATAGATATTTACAAATTGTGCATTTCCATGTGAACCATGAGCAAATCCTCACCAGTATCATCTTAAATAACATAATGGATGGATACATAACTTTTCAAATAAATATATTTTTTTACCTTCAAATTTTTTCAATAAACATAGGTCTTTCAAATTAAGCTATATGCTTACTTTGTTTTAATTAAGAATAAATTTATTATGTATGAATTTAAAATAAAATAAAATATAAAAATTTGAAATCTACTTTTTTAACTGGTTAAACCGTTAAAAGACATAGATAATGATTCTTTATATTAAAATGACAGTTTTGGCACAAGTTCATGACTTACTTCCTCCGTTCAAAAATATAAGATATTTTTTAAGGAGTTAAATATTTAAAAATATAAGGTATTTTTAATCTTTTAAGATGTAATTATTGTCTTTTTTTTTTTACAAGTGTCCCTATTTATTAATAACTTTATATTTATTGTAGAGTGTTTAATATGAATAAATATAAAAAATATAATTAATTTAAAAGTAGATAACTACTTTATTAAAAAAAATTTAGTTAAAAATATCTTATATTTTTAATGGAGAGAGTAAGAGTTAAGACTAAACAATAAAAAAAATATTGTTACTGAGCATGACTTGAAAAAATAATTGTTCATGAAATCTTTTGGAATTACTTGGGAGTAAAAAGGAAAGAAAAATTTTTTCTATACTAAAGGGGGACAAAGAAAGAGAAAGTGAAAGAACAGAGATATGTGAATGATTGGACCAAATTGGTATTAAAAAAAAAAGGATCATATCAAAGAATTGGAGCCAATACCAAATTTAGAAATTTACAGGACAAATCATGATCTTGTTAAAAAGGTGGAATGTTTTTTTTAGGGGGAAAAATGGAAAAACTAACTAGATTTTTTTTTTGTCACATGTACAAATGTATATGAATTGATTCAATTAGAGGAACAACTATTATCAATTCTAGAAAGTTATTTTATCAGATAATGTAAATTTGCTTCATCTCTTATGGAGAAATGACTTTTTTTGCTTCATCTCTTATGAAGAAATGACTTTATATTATTAAAGTATTGCAAATTTAAAAGAGGTTTAAATTGATCCATCTCGTTTAAAACAAAGATAAAATATAAAAACTTATAAATCTAGTTTTTAACTGGGTTAACCATTAAAGATGTAGATAATCATCACAACTTGACATTGGTTCATGCATAACTTAAAATCAATGTATTGAAAAAAGGATTTGTTATTAAACTGATCAAAGTATTTGTTCAAAAATTAATAGTCAAAATTATAGTCAAACTAATCATAAATAAAATATTTTATTAAATTAATTAAGTTATTGATTTAACGACTTATTAGTTTACCTGGGTGAGTTAACCCAAATTTTTGTACTATACTTATGACTAAACAATAATAAGAAAAAAATGGTTACTCAACATGACCAATACTTGTTCATGGTATCTTTCCTAATATCTTGGGGGTAAAAAAAACAGAGAATTTTTCTTCGGGTCAAAACCAAAGAATTGAAGCAAAAACCAAATTTAGAAAATCTACAGGACAAATCAAGATCTTGTAAAAAAGAAAAAAGGTGGAATGTTTTTTAGGAGGAAAAAATGGGAAATAAAATTATTTAGAATGTTTTTGCTATCTTTTAAAATTATTTAGCTATTCGATCGCAAAAATTTTTTGTTATTAGCTCCAAAAGCATTATTTTCTTGATAATTTTTTTTTCTCCCTACATTATAATATTATATAAGAAAAATTGTTAACCATTGGAGACTATAAACTACATTGATGTATTTCTTAAATGTACAATTACGGATGGAAATTAATTTAAATAAATTTGAATATCAAGTTTATTAGCAATAGTTTCTTAATTAGGTCTTTTATATACATTTAAGAATAATATTTTAGCAACTAACAGAGGTTGGGTCTAGTGAAAATAATTAATTCGTTACAACTTAATAAATTAAAGTTTAAATCTTAGTTGTCCCATCATGTATTGAATAAAATTATCTTCTTTTACTACTTTTTTTTATCTTTTTAGATGAAGGTGGAATATATTCAACTAAAGAATCAATGTACAAAGGCAAATGCCTAACATTGGTTTCAAGTCCTCTAAAAAAAGCTGTGATTGAGAGAAGTATATGTTGAACTTGAACTAACGCCTCCACAACCAATACAAATAGCATATCCAGCAAGCTATACACTAGAATTTTAATTGAAAATGACATGCATAGACGATAAAATTAAGAGAAAGGAAAATCATAAATAAGCACCTTTAATTTATATCATAAATAATTAATTAGGATCACAAAATTATGAAATTAAATTTTAGGACCATGATTAGTTTTAAAAATAATAATTTGATTAAAATGTCCTTGTCTGGTGACCAAGGTTACAAGTTTGGGGGAAAAAATTTTCAACTCAAATAAAGTGATTTCTGCATAATGAATTTTTTAAGTTGGCAATTATGTCAGGGAGTAAAAACGTTCTTAACCCAAATAAAATAACTTTATAACCTCTTTTAACTAAATTTCAAATCCAATTAAAGTAACTTTACTACTAATGAATTTTAAGTTAGTTAATTGCAAGTATGGGAGTAAAAAAATTTCCCATACAAATAAAATGATTTCATAACTCCCTTTGACTAAATTTTCAACATAATTAAAATCATTTTAGTACTAGTGAATTTTAAGTTGGCATTTTGAGTAGCGACAATTTAGTCAAAGTATTTTTTTTTTTTGGAAAAAAACTACAAAAGGATCATGGTCCTCAAATTTAATTTCGTGATCTGATTAATTATTTGTTATATTTAGATCTTTATTTGTGATTCTGGTAAAAAAAAAAAAAGATCTTTATTTGTGATTTTCCCTTAAAAGAAATATCTAGCATCCATAGGTTTTACACGGCATGCACATATACAACTGTATATAAATAGGTTCAAACAAAGATACAACTATTTTATATTCTAATCCAATTAGTCATAGAAAGTATTCTGATCAGATATTGTAAGTTTCCATTCATCTTTATGAAGAAATGGCTTTAGATTATTAAAGTGTTGCAATTTAAAAAAAAAATTTTAAGCTGACCCATTTCACTTAGAAATATTTAAAAAATTCTTGTATTGATCCTGTACATCATATTATCCATATTCCATCTAATAAAATTGTATTAATTGAATCATATAAAATTTTATGTGTCATTAATTTTAATGATTTCATTTTTATAATAGAATACAAATTAAATTTCTTATATTTTCTATTTTTATTATTATTAATGATAGAATTATTTTATATTTAATACAATCTAAATATTATATTTTTATTAAAAAGAACAAGGATAATGTGATGTGCTAGATTCATGCACAAATTTCTAGAAATATTTTGTAATTTCATTGAGGGCTAGCGCCTAGTCATCGGCTAATTCATTGGCCACAAAACTAATGGAAAAAATCCTCTTTCAGTTTTATCAGTTTTTATTAGAAAATTAAACTTTTTTAGTTGACTTTTTTAAAAATAGAAAATATTTAAATTCTAGATTATGGACTTATTCAAATTAGAATATTATCTAATTTTAGATATAGGAGTCATCACTATGTAAGATTAATACTTTGCTTGGTAAAAAGAGAAAAGTGAAGGGAAGAAAAACGTGACGATGAAATAAAATTTTTCCTTACTTTTTTTTTTCCGAGTAGAAACTGTATAACATTCAAAAAAATTGAGCAAAACAAAGAACTAAAAATAGATTGCAAAAGAGCCGAAATCAATCATCATCCATCTCCTATGAGGGATTAAGATGGTGAATGATAAAAAATACAAAAACACTTCACCTTGAAGTGGGCTTTCGTAGTTAAGTTGTATGCAGTACTGATAACATCCTTATAAACAAAATTAATGAAAACAAACTAGTTCTTATTTAATACATTAAAAGCATAAGATAAGATATCACGAAATGGGTGATTGTCATTAAAACCTCTCTAGTTATGAGGTTAATTGCTTCCCTTGCGAGCCAGACACATTCACGAACCTATGTAAATTTGTCAATTAATCTAGTTAGTGGTAATAAATTTGTCAATAATTCATACTCTTTCCGTCTTAAATTATAGGACACATTTAAAAGAATTTTTTTATCCCAAAATATAAAATACTTTAAATAAATTAAAGTTTCATTAAATGCACCAATTTCAATATTGCTCTTTCTTTTTTTATAATTAATTTCGATCCTTTTTCTTTTTAATATATTAAATGATGAGTATTTTTAAAAATTTACATTTTTTTTTAAAAAATAAAGTTGTTAAGTATATTTAATGAGGTTTATTAATATGTAAATATCTTTTTACCATTGTCTTTAAAATTATTAAAATATGTTATTTATTTAAATCACAATCTTTATATATCTAACAATTTAGTTACAAGAAATTTATTTATTGCTAACACTACATCTAAGAAAAACTATCTATTATCAGTAAAACATATTTCTTATACTTACAAAAAAAAATTATTGTCAACCCTTTTCACCTCATGAATAATTAATTCTCCTTTCAAATTACAATGAATCATAATTAACTACTTTAAACCGCAACGTAAATTATAATTAAGTCATTCCTGATTTATGAATAACGTTAATTAAAATTTTAATTTTTTTTAAATGTTCACATATTTTCTTTTATACAATCATTAAATACCCATTATAAAAATTGTGATAATAATAATTAAAATTTCAGTACATAATTATTTTCAAAAAAGGTAATAAGTGAAGCAAGAATATAATTAAAAAATAAATATAAAAATTATTTAATACTCTATATTTTATATCAAATGAGGTTTTTAAAAATTACCTTATATTATAATTTGAATTCGCAGGAGTATAACTTAAGTAATAAGGACTTTTTATTAAAAAAATAACATTGTCTAGATGAGGTTTCGCCAAAAGACGAACGCAATCTAACCTCCAAAAAAGAGGACGGATGCAAACTACTCAGTGCCCGTTTGGTTTGCGTCAAGAACCAATTTTTTGAGATTTAATCAATTTTCAAAATAAAATTTGCCAAACAGCATAATAATGACATAATCGATTAAACATGCTGAAATCAATTTTTTTGTTAATATATTCATACCTGCTTCTGGTTTCCATTTTACTATATTAATAATAAATAATTTGTAAATAATTCATAATTGTGTTAAATAAAATTTAACAAATTTATTAATATTAAATGCAACTTTATTAATAATTTAATTTCAAAAAACAATGTATTCTATGATAATTTGCACAGTTAAAATTAATTTCAGTATCCAAACAGGTTGCATTATAACATAATCAATTCTGATTAAAATCTACCAGTTAATCAATTATTTTCATAATCTATTATACCAACTGAAATCCAAACGAACCCTCACAAGGTCCCTCCAGTCTCGAGGACATACATTTTTATATTTTTTTTAATCTTTCTCTTTTCTCATCGTCTTTTTCATTTTCAAAATACTTGATAGATTATCTCCCTTTTTTTTTTTTCATTTCCCACTTTTTTGAAAACGGGGATCGTGCACGTCAGAGAACGCACCTCAGACCCCAAAAAGAAAAAATGCTGCGAAAAATTCGACTTTCAAGGGATTAATCTTTCCACCATCAAACGAAACCTACTCTCAAATTCTAACTTCAGTAACAAAAAATTGAAGCTAGAATTTCAAAGTAGATCAAAGCTCAACGATCTCAATAAGTCAGGAAAGTCGAACTTCTCACAGCAACGCCCAAAAATAATTATATGCTTGTAATCTTACCACCAACTCAACTGGCATCATAACCAACATCAAATCCACACTTTTTTTTTGTTGCCTCTGTCTTCTTTTTCATTTATTTATTTGATTTGATTTCTCTCCCTCTCATTCTACAGGGAAGGAGAAGAAACAAACTGTCTGGGTAAACTGAAAAGATCTTTCCCTTCAAATGGAGAGCTCCATTCCCTAGAACCGGCCGATGATTCAGCAGAAGCTATTCCACCATCTTGCAATCCAGGCATGGGAACGATGCTCCCATTTGAGTGTACTGATCCCATTGAGGGCTGAGCACCCAACCCAGAAGTATTTGAGTTGTATATATTAGAACTTTTGTTACCCTTTGTGAAAGGTGAGAGCCCTGCCCACAATGCATTCGATCTCGGTGAAGATAAACCTCTATCTAAAGACCAGTCTATGTTGGCATAATCAAACTGCATTGACCCTCCAGTGCTCCAGTCTACCGAGGACGATGCCCCAGATGGGAGGGCTGCCGATCCTAACCCAGTAAAGAGTCCAAGTGAAGCGGCAGCAGCGAGTGTCGGAGAAGCACCTGTTCTATTCCATATGCTATTCCCTTGGCTAGTGTCTTGGAGATCTACTGAATTGCTGCTGCCAGTGACAAACTGTTGCTGAGGCTGATAAGGAAGTTGGTGGTACATCTGATTTGAACTGAGATAGTTTGCATTGAGGTTTCTAGTGTTAGGAGTGTGGGGTAAATAGCCAGTGGACCTTATTACATCACCATTCGGATGCCAACTTGCAGCTATACCAGAAGAACTAATGCTTGTGGCTGGAATCTGCTTTACATTTGCAGTTTGAGCCCGTTGCATGATCATTACTGGTTCCCTAGATGCTCCAGGTTGAAGGTTCTTGTAATCGCCTCCAACAGCCATATATCGGGCTTCAGACTTAACAGATGGGGCCGCTGCCACCTGCAAAGGTGACGCCAATGAATAGGACACAGAAGGATTAGATGTGGTACTTGGCCACCTTTTGTCGGCTGGTATGGGGGCTTGTTGGGCCTTGGTCCACTCTGACTTCGGCTGAATTCTCTTTAGAGGTTGCACACTTTTATTACTGGATTCAGAAGATACCCCAACCATAACTGCTGAATTTGTGTAGTTAAAATCCTTCCCATCCTTTTTGAGTTGGTTGGGAGAAGGAATAGGTTTTGTTTGCGGCCTTGAATTCTGATTTACAACTCCTGACTGCTTACCATTATTAACACTAGGAGGATCACCAGTTTCCTCTGGCTTAGGGGGAGCAAATGGTGGGTCCAGCTTTAGTTCTCTCAAGGAATCTGCAGCATTTTCTAGATCTCCTTCACAGGCCACAACTGCTCTTTCTACCTCCTGCTTTGAGCAACCAAACTTGGTTTCCATGTCTGCAATCCTAGCAAGTTCTTCTGAAATGTCAATTTTTAAATTACTTCCACCTATGTTTTTGTCCTTGTGGCTCTCTGTTTCTTCAGCCCCTTCAAACAGCCATGCAACTGATTCTTCCAATTTTCCTTCATTCAGAATCAATGCCATTGTTGCCCGTTCATGGGAAAATCCCATTGATACAAGCTGTTGAGCAAGGGCCTCTAGTTTCCTTGACATAAGATAGCCACTGCAACGTTCATGTAACTCTTGGGCTCGCCTTTCCTTCTGGCGTTGATGTTTTCTCTCATTCTTTTGGCGGATTTTCTCTCGCTTGTCAATATCAGCTCCAGGTACTGTTTCTAATCGAGCAGGAGGATTAGAAAGTTTCTCCTTATGGTCCTCTGACTCACCAGACCAACTATCATTATTTGAAACAGAATCATCCTCAATGCCAGCAATCATTGCCACCCCAGGATGTTCCTCCGTCCCATCTATGTTGCGAAAACGGCCATTAGAATGAATTGGGGAAGTAGATGACACTGGTGACATTTCAAGAGCATGAAACATTCCTGAGAGCGGGTTGTAAGCACTAGCGGGTATGGCAGCCCCTGCATTAAGAGATCCTGAAGGTTTTGCAGAAGCCTTCTGGGCTTCCTTACTCACCTTTTTGTCTTTGGACTTTGATCGGGTAGCAGGAGACATGTCGGTTGAAGGCATAAAGGGTTCTGCAACAATAAAGAAATAATTTAGACACTTTATTTGACTTCATATCAGTAGAGTAGCAACATATGACAAACATATCCAGGCACTAAAAGACCAAATACCATTTAAAGTATTTCAATTAACAACCACAGCACTGCATACATGCACAGTTCTGTTTGCAAGAAAGTATACATAAATGATAAAAATGAATAGTGGGAGGTGGAGGCATATCTCAGGTGATTCAGAACATGAACCCCTCAAGAAGGCAGTTGTTAACTGTAAAATTATCGAAATGATTCTATTAGTAAACTAAGAAAAAGTAGTGTGGCATTATTGCATGAAACTCATCCTCAGTCAGAAAATCAAGAAAAATAGTTTTGATTTCTGTAGAATATTGTCACTAGTACTTATTATCTAATGCAGCAAACCACAACAAAGACTAACTGATAAGTTAATAGCAAGCAAGGAAAAATTAAAAAAGATAACTGGACAGACTAATAAATTAATACATGTCCCCAGGATGCTTAAGGGAGAAGAATGAGAGGGAGAGGAAAAGGTGGCGTAGGGACTTCCTTGACATTCTAACTTCTATATCTTCACTTTTGTACATGAATAAAATAATTTAGTCATAGGAATCCAAGGACAATTTGATACCAAAGACAATATCAGTCTGTCATTGGCATGTAAGCTGCTCACTGCTCACTAAAAGCACAATCATCTGCAGTTAATGGAGGGATATAAGATCCTATTTTCAGATACCCAACTCTTCTCTGCATACAGTCCTACCCTTATCTCAGGTCTCCAGATTTGTGCAACCCAAATGTTGCTATTCTTCCAATACATGTTCAAAGAATCATGCTTTTGAAAACTATAATTTAAAAGAGAAAATGATTTTACCTTTTAAGCACCACACCAAACTGTTTCAAGCATCAATAGTGCTAGACTGCTAGTAAAAATGTAAACCAGAAGTTAATACCTAGTTCTCTGGTCTCCGATTCCTTCTCTTAATGTAACTAAAATACTATGGCCAAAATAAACTCTGGCTTCATAAGTTAAAAGAAGTGTAGAACTCTCACTTAAACAGAAACATGAAATATTTTATTGCTTTATATTCAGTTTCTTATGTTGCTCCCAAAACAATGAATTTGGTCTGTAGTTTAAAAATTAAGCCTTCCAATCCTTCTGTGAAAAGAGAAAATCATGTTCGATGCAGAACGCCATTGCTCAGTTCTACTGAGGTAAGGCGCTTGCAGAAGAAAAGGAAGGAAACCAAAGTGAAAGAAGATCATAACAGCCGTAGAAAACCACCTATATCTTATAAACAGTTGGCAGAGAAAGCAGTTATGAAATTACTCTAGCAAAGGAACACAAGCAATCCAGCAAGATGCCATCAGACAGATCAAATCCTGACATGGCAAGACATAAGACCAGCTCAATCATAACTAACCCACCACCTCATTTAAATTAATAGGAGCACAACCGTATCAGAAATAGAAACAGTCCAACTTTTCAGATTATCAACTGCAAGATATCTGATAAAATTAATTAGTGCCTATTCATGTCCTTTGGCGTGTCCATGTCTTCAACAGTTCTAACATATATTCAACATGGTGGTGCTTATAGTTGCAAGTACAGTGAATCTAGATTCAATATGATAAAAATGACATCAGCACCAACATTGTTGACTTTTAATGCAACATATTTGCCAATTTTATAGTTAATCAAGCCAAATTCTCAAATTAATGTCATATGCGCAAAAGTTTATCTTAAATCCTCAGCAGTTTCTAAGAGTTGATGCATATTAACACATAAATTACTATTTACTATACTTAAACTTGTGGCTTTCCCACAATTATCATAACAACTTGTATCTCAAATCATGATTATATGCCAACACAAAAATCAGACTAGGAATTCAACCAGTAATCCAATCTTCTACACTCACAATAATATTCATGACAATAATATTTATTACTAGACATGCAGTTTGCCTTCTGTAATTAAGACAAGTAGAGTTTAACTTTACAAATACACCAATAACTGACCTAAAGGCAGAACACAGAATATTGTGATCATCTAAGGACCATACTAAACAAAGCTTGAAAGCTTTCTATCCTGAAAACAATGTCAATTTTCTGCCAGAACTCTCGTCCTACATTCAATATGTAACAATTCATCTTGGCCACACCCAAATAACTTCTCTATGCATGACTAACGGTAAATTCAGAGAAATCAACCTTGCAAAAACAACAGGATGTAGCAGTTGCAGGGTGCATACTATTTTCTACAAAATGAGGGATTAAACTGAACTTTTTATAGCACAGAATCTCGAGGCATCTTGTAAATTGCTAAAACGTTCGATGGTAACCTTCTAAGAAGTAAATAAATTGAGAGAAAATAAGGTAAGGAAGAGGAGAGAGGAGAAACAGTAGTGGGAGTGATATTCTGAAACAACAAAGCAGGTGGGCATAGATGCCCACTTGAAGTCTAAGTCAAAAGCCAAATTAATGTACCGCCTGAAAGCCCAGAACATTTCCGAATTTCATATCATCAAAGTCGACGCCAAAATTAATAAATTCGGCAAGCAGCACCATTATTACATTTCCTCAACAGTATGCACAACAAACCAAAAATCCGCCTTCACCATGTAAGTCGATCGCTAATGGTAGCGCAATAGGAGAAATTGGAAACCGTAAGATTGAAAATCGCAGTAATCTCCAAATGAGGAAAAATGATGAGAACCAAAGTACGGCACGTATTTCGCGTTCTACAGGATCCATTATATACTTCATCATATTCAACGAAACCAATCCAAACTCACACACAATTCCTAATTCCCGAACAACAAATTCGACAATCTAGAATTCAGGATTTGAATTGCCAAGTTCAACGATCGAACAAAACACAAACAAAACACAAAAAATTCATTCTCCGACAATCATCAGAGCTGCTAATTCGAAGAAGATCATATAACAGATTAAAATGAGGAGAAAACAAAATCAGATTCAGAAGGAAAAAGAGAACCAACCTTCGGTTTGATGGAAAATAGCTTCGATGATGATGATAGAGGGACAAAGGTGTTGAATGACAAAATCGTTCAGAAGTTTGGACAGGGAAGAGAGAGAGAGATAGGTTTTCCGAGGCTCAAACTGAATTTGGCAGAATCAGGGTTTTGAGGAACTGAAGATCTGGAAATGTAATGATAAAATAAAAACGAAATAATATTTTCTTTTTTCCACTTTAATATTTTGTCCCCTTTAAGTTTTATATTTTTCTTTTGTGGGCACCATGTTTTACATTTTTCGGTCCCTCGGCCTTGCTTTTCATTTTCTTTCGAATTTTCAGATTACTTTTGCAACTGACACGTACGTTTCATTCCATCCTGGCAAATAATAAGGCGTGCGTGTTACAAAAGAAATTACTTGTTTAATACAAAAATCTTTGCCCAATACAAAAATTACTTTTTTTAATAATTCAACAACATAAGAAATAGCCAAAAAATTATTTTATTAATCAATATATATAATAAAATATAAAATACATAGAAAATCGCATATCTAAATCACAGAGCACATAATTTAATTAATAAAAATTCCTCATTATATTATATTTTTATTTTAAAAAACATATTAGATATAATTATAAAATATTCAAAAATTGAAAAAAAAGTTAGAGGAAAATTGTTTAAGTATTTTTCAAATATCAATCGCCGAAATAAAATAAAGGTAAAAAAAGGAATTTTGATATAAGATTGAGGAACTAAATCAAAATTAAATGAAGTTCAATATAAAAATAAAATGTAAAATAACATTAAGATGAAGAATCTGTTATGAAATAGAGACTGAGAGTAGAAAAGAAGAGAGAATATTATACTGAGGGAATAAGAAAATATAAAGCTTTCTTATTTTAGTGTATCGAATACAACTGAGATGCATTTTATTTATAGGCACAAATATATTAATTAAAATGAATAAAATATATAAGATAATAATAAGTTAAAGATATTATAGTAATTGAAAGATATTGGAGAATATGAGATAATGGACATCTACATAATATTCTAATATTCATCACATTTCTCCTTAGATGTCCAGATGTTATGCCTCATTAAAATCTTATTAAGAAAAACCCTATGGAACAAAAACTTAGCCAAGGAAAAAAGTACACAATATTGTCATATTTATTAAAACTACCTCATTAAAAACCTTACTAAAAAAATCCAAACAAAACTTTGGTTAAGGAAAAAAAAAGTGCAGTATAACTTTTACTCCTCCTGATGATGATATTACTTCATATTTCTTAGCTTGCGAACCCCGATGTTGTATACAAGCTTCTCAAAAGTTGAAATAGGAAGTGTTTTGATCAACAGATCTGCTAGATTATTATTGGAATGAACTTGTTTAGTTTGGATTTCTCCATTTTTCTAAATATTATGTGCAAAGAAGAATTTTGACGAGATATGCTTTGTTTTATCTCCTTTAATATATCCTTCTCTCAACTGGGCAATGCATGCAGCATTATCTTCACATATGGTTGGGATCATTTTTCCAGAAGAAAGAGCATAAATGCTTTGGATGTGATGGATCACAGAACTTAACCAAATGCATTTTCAGCTTGCTTCATGCATTGTTAAAATTTCTGCATGATTAGAATATGTGGCTACTATCATTTGTTTCATAGATCGCCACGAAATAGTAGTGCCGTCACAATTAAACAAGTAGCTCGTTTGAGATCGACCATTATGATGATCTGACATGAATTCTATATCTGCATAGCCCATTAAATCTTGCTTGATTTTATTAGAATATAATAAACTCACATCCATAGTACATTTAAGGTAACATAGAATATGTTTAACTCTATTTCAATTTCTTCATGTTGGTGAAAAACCATACCTTGCTAATAGATTAACAGCAAATGATATATCAAATCGTGTATAACTAACAAGATACATTAGTATTCCAATGGCACTAAGATATGGTACTTCTGGACCAAGTAGTTTTTCATCCTCTCCTTAAGGCCTAAAAGAATCTTTGTCTTTATCCAAAGATTTAACAACCATTGGAGTGCTTAAAGAATGTGCTTTGTCTATATAAAATCACTTTAGGACATGTTTTATATATGCTTCTTTATACACAAAAATTTCACCATTCAAACATTCAATTTGTAATCTAAGACAGAATTTTGTCCTTCCTAAATCCTTCATTTCAAATACTTTCTTCAAGCAATTCTTAACTTTTAGAATCTTTGTAAGAGCTCCAATAATATTTACGTCATCAATGTAAACTGTGATTATTACATACCCATTTTTAGATCTTTTTAGGAAAATGCATGGACAAATACGATTATTCTTATATCTTTCCTTTATCAAGTATTCATTAAGGTGATTATACCACATGTGCCCAAATTGCTTCAACCCATAAAGGGATTTATTTAGCTTGATTAAGTATTGTTCTTAAGAACCTTGATTGTTTGTTTATTGCAATTGAAATCCTTCTGAAATTTTCATGTAAATATCATTATCAAAAGAGCCATATAAATTGGCTGTAACAATGTCTATTAGATGCAAATCTAATCTCTCTCATGCTTCCAAACTAATCAAGTAATAAAGGGTAGTTGCATCCACCACAGGTGAGTATGTTTGATCAAAATCAATGCCAAGTCTTTGCAAAAATCCTTGAGCAACAAGTCGTGCTTTATACCTTACAATCTCATCTCTTTCATTTTGCTTTCGTACAAAGACCCATTTATACCCAACAGGTTTCACATCTTTAGATGTGCGGACTACAAGTCTAAAAACTTTTTATTTTTTAAGAGATTTTAATTCTATCTCCATTGTATCTTTTCCTTTTTTTTGGTCAATCATTTCATCATCTACATTTCCTAACAGACTTTAGTTCTTGATCCTCATTGTCATTCATGACGTTAAGTGCTATATTATATGTAAAATTGTTGTCAACATTAATTTCATTTCTATCCCATTGAATTCCATCCACAACATAATTTATTGAGATCTCATCATGTTCATCTATTTTAGGTACCTGTGTCTTATCTTGAATTGAGACTTTAGTTGTGTCCAATATTTCTTCTGGAGTTTCCTTTTCCTTTTCCTTGACCATCTAGATTCTTAGCTCCTTTTCTTTTCTAAGGATTTTTATCTTTAGAACCGATAGGTCTACCATGCTTCAAGCGAGCCTTAGACTCATTGACAGTGATCGATTGTCCAATAGAGACATTAATCTTAATCGGAGCATTAGTAGCTAGAATATGTGATTTAGTCACCTTTTTTGGGTTAGCAAATGCGTCTAACAATTGATTTGCTAAACTTTGCAATTGAAATTATCTTTTAAATTTCTTATTCACATTATTTTATGCAAGGATCTAAAGAAGACACTGATAATTTATTCCAACTAATTTCCTTTTCCAACTGCTTTTTCTCTCCCTTAATGTTGGAAAAAATTATTCATCAAAATGATAATCATCAAACCGTGCTATAAATAAATCTTCAATTAATGGTTCGAGATATCTTATTATTGATGGAAATTCATATCCAACATATATTCCTAACTTTCTTTGAGGTCCTATCTTTATGCGTTGTGATGGAGTAATTAGAATATGAACTGTATGACCAAAGACTTTAAGATGAGAAATATTAGGTTCTTGACCCTAAAATCATTTGTTAAAGAGAGGAATTTGGATTGCCTGTTGGCCTAATGTGAAGTAATGTTGCAGAGGCATGATTGCATGCTCCCAAGCGGATATCAAGATTTTTGATTGCATGAGCAATAGTCTAGCAATCAATTTCAATCGTTTAATAAATGATTCTGAAAGTCCATTTTGTATATGAACATGTGTTATAGGATGCTCAATTTCAATTTCAATGGATACACAATAATCAATAAACACCTGAGATATAAACTCAGTAGTATTGTCAAGGCGTATTTTCTTAATTGAATAATTAGGAAAATAAGCTCTTAGTTGGGTTAATTGAGCAAGCAATCTTGCAAACGCCTGTTATGAGATAATAGTAAACAAATATGTGACCATCTGGTTGATACGTCTATCAAAACCATAAAATATCTAAATAGTCCACATGGTGGGTGAATTGGCCCACAAATATCGCCTTGTATGCGCTCTAAAAAGTTTACCAATTCACTCCCAATTTTGGTTAGTAATGGTTAAATAATCAATTTTCCTTGAGAGCAAGTAACACATGAAAAATTATTAGATTGAGGAATCTGATGACTCTTTAAGTCATGTCCGCATGTGCTTTGAATTATTTTTCTCATCATAATTGATCTAGGATGACCCAACCAATCATGCCAAGCAAGGAACATGTAATTTGTAAACTTATAGTTTACAATAACATGTAATTCTATTGTACTAATATGTGTGTAGTACAATTTAGAAGAGAAAGCAGGTAATCTTTTCAATACATATTTATCATTCAAGATATTTCTCGTGATACATAGATATTCAACATCTTTATCATTCATCGTCTCAAATGTGATATCTATTTTTTCGGATGTCTTTTAAGATTAATAAACTCCTACAAGACTTAGAGGAATATAATGCATTATCAAAATGCAAATTTGTTCCTTTTGGTAATATTATACTAGCTCTTCCAGAGCCTTCAATTAATTTTGTACTACTAAATACAGTACTAATATAAGCTTTCTTCCTTATTAAATTTGAAAAATATCTTATATAATTGAGAATTGTATGCGTCATAACACTATCCACAAGATATATATCTGCATAATTAATGTTGGTGCCAACCGTAGAATTAGCCATTCTTCAAAACACTAAAAATAAATATAAGGATTGATGTGCTAAAATATGTAAAACATAAATTTCAATAAAATTATAAACTTTAACATAAATTAATATTCCATCATCAACTTCAATATTCTTAAAACACATAAAATTATAAAAAGGAATACTGAAACCTACAATGCAGAAAACATAATTAATAACCATAACATAATTTGTGTTTGGAATATTCCATCATCAATAAGGTGCCCAATGTTTCCATTTAGGTTAGAGAAGAAATCAACAATGTCTAAATTGGAGATGCCCATACTATCTTCAAGATCATTATTATAAGATATGAGGTTTGTCTCCACTTTATTCTCCCTTTTTAAGGATTCTTGATAAAGGTCAATAAGATGCCTTAGGTATGACA